TGTTTATGGCGGGAGGGCAGGCGACTGAGGCAAGTGATGCGCACAGCTGAGTGAGAACGGCAGACTCGTGAACTATATTCGCGCCCGGGAAGTTTGAATATGCTAGCATCTTTCAAACAATTTTTTGGACTTAAGTATTTTTAAAAATTTGTTCGTATGTATGGAATATTCGTAAGTAGAATGTTCGTAAGTAGGGGACTTACTGTATATTTAAAAAGGAAAGTCTTTAACCAGTGCATCCTCCTAGTTATGACCTATTGATCAGAAACATGGACTACATCCAAATTACTGGAGAGAAAACATATAAGTGCCCAGAGAGGAATGGAGAGGTTGAAGCTGGGAATTAGCCTAAGAGATTGAATGAGGGCGACATGTATAAGGGAACAGACAAAAGTGGAAGACATACTTGGGAGAATCAAAAAGAAAAAATGGCAATGGGCAGGTCATATATGCTGGAGACAGATGGACAAAGAAAGTAACAGACTGGGCTATAGATGACATAAAGAGGCCAAGAGCCAGACCAATGATAAGCTGTGTGATGAAATAACAAAATTTGGGGGCGAAGACTGGAAACAAAAAATGCAAGACAGACAAAGTTGGAAAAGACTAGGAAAGCCTACATTTTGCAGTGGATTGATTCAGGCTGATGATGATAATATATTTATGTATGTCATGAAAAGATAATTGCTGAAGAATGTAGTAATGCCATGTGGTATCATATGCTTTTTCTAAGTCAAAGAAAACAGCTAATATGGAGTCATTGCGTGCAAATGCTGATGTGAAATATGTTTCAAAATGTGCAAGTGGATCAGCTGTATTTTAAGTATAACAGAATCCAACCTAGGAAGATGAGAGAAGGGTGTGGGATTCAAAGTACCACATTAAGCAGATTTTTAATGTACTCTCTAGTATTTTCCACAAGCAACTAGTCAGAGCAATGGGATGGTTATCTTGAGGGAGGTTGCAGTTTTACTGGATTTCATGAAAGGTAGGATAAGGGCTTTAACCCAATGGCGCCGGGTGTACAAAAAAACTCTACGCTCTAGCAAACAAAGGCGGCGCACCGACTTTGAGCGCGTGAGTAGGGGACGTCAGCCCGAATCACTGGCTCGCCGCCACGGCGTACAGGTGCACGTCAGCATTTCGAGCGGTTTGTTTTCACGCCAATCGGCGTCACCCAGCGTTAAGGGGTTAAACTGTAGGGAGTAAAGAGTCTAGTTGTTTAATTACTGCTGAATATTGTCAGTGGGAAGAACAAGGATATAGGTGGGAGATCCATAGCTTACTGTAATGTATACAGTAATGGCCTTTATGTGTGTTGTGGCATGACTGTAAAACAGGAGTTCAACATAAGAAAAAGGGGTATCATAGGACTCTGTAGAAGATACGGAAAAGGAGATGAGAGTGCATTTTTTGGCTGCTTTAATGGAAAAGAGGTGGGGAAAGGTGAGAGCCCCTAATGACCTGGCTTATGCACCAAGTTCAGCAGTGACTTGGAAAGATTCAGATACAGATATGTAGGATGGAGGCAGGAGGAGGGATATTTTCCTAATAATACATGGATTCTATGCAGACTTCAGAAACAGGTAGAGGATGTTACTTTAGAAAGATAATTTCCCAAGCTGGTTGTGACAGAGCTTCGGACTGTGAGTGGATGCTCTTTTAAATATGATAATGGCTGATAATTGGCTAGCGGAGTCTCACTTGAAGCAATAACTGTTTCTTGCTGAATGCTGGAACACATTTGGATATAACTGGATGGGGGGAATCAGGAAATGGCTGTAAAGGCAGCACTCACTGCGAAATTTAAAAGTATGTCTGAAGTGGAAGAGAAGAATGATGGAGGAAGAGGAAGAGAAGAGAGAAAGGTAAAGTATTGCAATCTGCTTTATCAATGCAACAGCATGGGGGCTGGGGAGCAGGTCACAGGAAATAGGAGGAAGGGGAATAAGAAGGTGATCCCTTTAAGGAAGGTGATTCAGAGCTGGCCAATAAAAGTCTAGATAAAGGAAAGAGGAGCAAAGAGGAAGGTGAAGGCATGAGGCATGAGAAGGATTTAGGATGCATGTCACAATGGGTAGGAGATCTGAATCAAGAAGGACAAAGTCAGTATTTGAAAAAAAGTATTCCAGGAAACTGCTTTAAGAAATTATGTCAACAACTATTATATCAACAACTATGAGGAAAGGTGGTTGGAGCTAAGGGGTAGGGCGTTGATATGAGGAGGAGGAAGATAGATGTCAGTAGTCACTCTGAAAGTAGGGAGAATGGGAGTAGAGAGATTAGAGGGTGGATGAGAGGGGGTATTCTCTTGGGTCATGTTTACGAAGTTTTGGATGTCCAGATACAGCAGAAAAGTGACACTGGGACACTTCTGACATAGAAGGGCCTGGGGTCAATATGGTCTAAAAGGGCTTGACTCACCACCAATAAAGACCTCAAGGGGAAGGTCATGTCTACAGAAGGTAATCAAGCTAAAATTGATGTCAGACTTATGGTGTCCTTTGGGGGAAATAGTGAGCATACTGCATCATACTGCTACCATGTCACAGTCAATGTAGCAGGCAAGCAAGTTGTTTTCACATTCTGACCAATCCTTGTCACAGACAAGGCAATCAGCCAGGGATATGGAAATAATTCTGGTACAAGTATTTAGGGAAGAGTGGGATTGGGCTAGAATAGGTTTACCAATAATGTCAACCAGGGACTCAGATGCAACTGTTACAAGGTGTTAACGATTAGAATGGCTGTAGAAGGAAACTCTACCTACTTGTTTTTGGAGACATTATTGGAAGAGGAGGGTATTGTCAGAGTAAGGGGTTGTATGGGGAAACAAAAAATCAATCACACTTGGCTGGGCTAAAAAGAGTTGTTAAAAGGTTTGTAGATACGGGAATTGCAGACAGACAAGGACAGGAGGAAGAGGGAGTGATGTGGAGTGAGGCAATATTGTGGAGGGGAGGGCAGTGAGGATAAAGAGTTGTTATTAGGGAGAAGAAGTCAAAAAATAAAGAAGACTGTGCAGGAGGAAATTTTGTGGAGAATATTGGGAGAGAGACAGAAGTGTCTTTGAAGGCTTAGTTATAACCTGGGAAAATGATACAGGATAGGTCATGTTGACAGTGAGTGTTGAGGAGGAATTTATAGTAGCAGTGGAGAGTCAGGGGTCAGTTAGCCAGAGAAGTTAGATCCAGGGAGGCTAATTCATAAAATGAAAAGTCTCAATGCCCCTAATAAGGGAACAAAAGGTCCATTACTGGCCATGGTAAACCTATAATGTGTAGAAAAGAGAAACAGTCCACTACTCAGGATCCCCATATGGGGTAAGGGCTCGACAATTAAACAGGAATACCCTGCCTATGGCTCCCCAAGGCTGTTTAGGACTGGCAGAAACTCATCCTTTCATCCTTTAGGAAGTGGACAGGGGAGGGGTTGGAAAAGATAAGAAAAGGGAAAGGAGGGGAAAAAATTGGTTGAGCCAAGGGCTGAGACCCAAGGTAGGGGAGATCTTCAATATTGGACTTCAGTCTCCAGCTCCTAAGCACCCCAGGACAACAATGGGCATGAGACTGGAGGAGAAACCAGTGAGTAATGAAAGAGTCTGTGCAGAAAAACTGGAAATATACAAATGAGGTAATGAATTTCATACTGAAAGGAAGATGGGAACTACTGAAATGGATGACATTCAATATACACAAACTGAAACCTAAAACCTGGAACCCAACATTTGTCAGACTTACTATGTAATATAGATAAATTAACATCTTACCTCCATTTTAGTCTTCTTTATATCATCCTTCATTCCCTCTGCAGAATCCTCAGTTTCTGGTACAACTTTCACGTCTGATCTACTGTCATCATTTTCATTCACAACAGCTCTGTCATTATTTAGGTCTCCTGACACATTAACTTCATCATCAACCACTACTCTGATATCTTCATCCTCTACTTTCTGCACAACTCTTTCTTGGACTTCTTTAGTAATACACAAGTCATCTCTTATTGGGGACCTCTTTTTTTCTTCAGGAAACTCATCTAGCACAACCTCCTCTTCCTTTCCCTTTAATTCTCCTGATACAACTTCTGATATTTCTCCTAAGTCTTCATTCTTTCTCCTTTCAAGTATGAAATTTTCTCTGTTCTCTGGCACTACATCACTGGCTTCTTCTGGCACACTATGCACTCTGTTTACTGAAATATCTTGTCTAATTTGTGAAACAAGCTGATTACTCTGTTCATCATCAAGAGTAACCTCCTGCTTTTCTTTCACACTATCTTTAGAAATTAACTCATTCTCTCTATGTGACATGGCCTCTTGCTCTGGAAGAAGCTGCTTCATTGAAACTCCTCCTCCTAGCACCTTTGCTAGGATTTCTGGAAAACCTCTGTATCCTTCTGGAACAGCTTCCATGACACCTGGAATATTTTTAAATTGTTCTGAAAACATAATTTCTTGATGTCTTTGCACATCACTTAACTCTCCTCGTTCTGCAATTCCCTGCATCCTCTCTCTTCTCTCCTCAATGACGTCTAAAACATCTAAAGTTTCAGGTACTACATTTTTAGTTTGGACAACATGGTCTTCTTCATCACTTTCCAAGTGAACAATGTCATCATCCTCTACTGCTCTTGAATCATCAGTTTGATTTACATTTTCTTTCAGTACATTATTACTTTCTGTACTGAAATCTTTATGTGCATCAGAAGATGCATACACTTCTGCCTGTGAGAGTTTTTGCTCAAGAGATGCTTCATGAACCTTTTCCTTGCCTGAAGTGGGTTCAGCAATTGGTTCTCTGCCTTCCTCACATGAGTACTTAAGATTGGCAAGAACTGCACCAACAGACTGAAAAACCCTTGGCCTATTTTTTTTTCTGTAATGCGAATGCATTCCAAATTCAGGCTTATTTGGAGATAACTTACTGTTTGTATCCATTGAGCTTGAATTAGAATTACTGGGAAGGTTTAGTTGAGTTCTTTCCATGTTATTCTCAATAATTCCACCATTCCAAATTCAGGCTTATTTGGAGATAACTTACTGTTTGTATCCATTGAGCTTGAATTAGAATTACTGGGAAGGTTTAGTTGAGTTCTTTCCATGTTATTCTCAATAATTTCACAACTTTTACTTCTGTTTCTTCTGTCTTGCATTGAATTTATAGAATCATGAGATTGTGGAACTTCTGTACAAGTGCCATTCCCAGACTGTGAGCAGTTCTCTTGCTCTACATTATTTCCTGAATTAGCATAATTTGTATTTCTCTCACCTACACATTTTTCTTCAGAACCTCGCAATGACCTTCGAGCTCTTGGAATGATTAAAGTCATATCCCTATTTTCAATCATTGTCAGACTATGGAAGGTCTGTCTACTTTCTTCACTTACATCTATTGTAGAGTGTTCTGAAGGGCTTGGTGGACCAAGGTTTACAGTGTTACCGGTCTTGTTTGTTTCTCTTGCTTGAGGAGGCTTAACTTGAGGTCTCCTTCTTGGATCAACCTTTACAACCATAAGGGTATTATTTTCACAAATTCTTTTGATGGTGGCTAAATCATCAGTGTCATCACTTGGCTGAGATGGAAGGGAAATGGCCTTGTTTTCAACTGATGGATAATCTTCAGACCGTAGCATCTGTACACATTCATCATCTTGGACTTGTACTGGTGGTTTCTTCTTCATGACTGGTGTAGAATATCTAAATTTGTCTCCCAGATGTAATTCTTCTCCAATATCTTGGCCTGGAAACAATACGTCTGAATCCTCTTTTTTGTGCTTCTTAAACTGCCTGTCACTAAAACTATGAATTTGTCTCCTTTGGGGTTGATATCTACTTGGCGCAAAAACTGATGAACTGCTAGGTAGTGTAGCTTCTCCTTCAATTTCAACAACAACTGGTTCTGTCAATCTTTGACGTGTCTGTCTAAAACTTTCCTTTCTACTGCTTTGCTCTGAAAGCTGAGAATCTTTTCTAAATATACTGGAAGCAGTTGCAAGAACCTCAACATCATGAACAGAACTTCCCCTCTCTTTTTCATTACTGGAAATTATTTCATCTTCACTTTCAAAAAACACATGTTTGCCCTGATTTATAGCAGGCTGCATCCCTTGCTTTGTACTTCTTGGTTTTGCAAATGGAAAATTGTATGCTACCTCTCTATCAAATACTGACTTCTCAGCTATATTCCCATATGTTGCATCATTCTCTATCACACTCTGCTGTTCATTACGTTTCTTTTTCTTGTGTTTTCTTATTCTTTTTCTCTTTCCTGTTTTAAGTGGGCCACATGGCTCAAAGCTTGCAGAAGGATCAGTCACTGAATCAGCTGCATGAGGACCATCATCTTGTTCGTATGATCTGATATTTGATAATTTTTCACCAACAGTTTTTTCACTTTTATCAGAGGATTCATCATCCAAAGAATCATCACTTAGCAAGTTAATAACAGTACTTGTGGATACAACTTTTACCTGAGACTTTTTGTCTTCCAAATATCTACGTTCTAGTTCCTTCTGTTTTTCAATGATGTCTGTTTCACCTGATTTCTTCTTGGATCTTAAATTCCCTAACTCATAATCTACTGCTAAGTTTTGAAATCTATTTCTCTTGCTACTCCTACTCTCTTCAAATCCCAAGTCAATTTGCTGACCTTTTGTTCCTTTTTTACAGTACAGCTCTTGTAATTCATCTCCATCTATCTCAAATTCTTCAATGACTTTAGTTTTCTTTTTCCACTTTATGTCTGTTCCTGTTTCATAGTCATTGCTTCTTCCAGTTGACTGCAAACTGGGCATTTCATTTCTGCTTTTCCTTCGACAGCTTCCACCAACCAAATATGGAATATTCCTCCTTCGCCCAAGATTTGTTAAATGTTCTGTTTCACTGTCTGATTCAGTCAACAAGTCACTATCACTCACACCATGTATTTTACTTTCATTTACATCACAGAAATTTGCTTCAAGTTTTGAAAATTTACTTCTTTTACTTTTTCTTTTCCCTCTGCTTTCTTCTATGGAGCTCTCCTCTTCTGAAGTTGGTGCTCTTTTACGTTTCCTTGAAGTTCCTTCTCTAACATTAGAATCACTCTCAGAAGTGCTTATTACATCCTCTACCTTTATTCTTCTTTCCCTTCTTTCCTCTCTCCTCTGTGGTGGCAGAACATCAGGACTTGCATTCCTTTTCTTCTTCTCCTTCGCTGTCTCATTCACTGATTTGTCGTCTTCTTTAGCTTTTTTCTTGCCTTTTTTCTTCTTCTTTCCCTCTGCCTCTTGAGAACTTGGTAGTGTCTTTAATCTAGTAATAAAAAAAAATAAAAATTAAATACTTGTTTCTCTAAATTTCCAACTAAACTAGAATTAATTACACACACTTCTGACCTTAAAAAAACACACAAACATAACCCTCTGTGTTGGGATGACATGTCATTCATCATGCCATGTCCACTGTGATTTTAGTTTACTGAGTTTGTTTAGACTGTTAGGTACCAGCATCTAACATTATAATGATTATAACATCAGTAGCAATAACATTTTCCCTGAAAATTCAAACTGACTCCTTGATGGCTGAGACTTGTGGAACCATCTGTGTATGCCAAAATTCACAGTGGACAGTATATATACCCTTGCACAGAGGTTAAATAATACATAATAAATTTCTCAAAAGAAACTGTAGGAAGTAAAGATTATGAGAGACAAATATATCTCAAGCATTCATCCAGATTGAGTATAAACAATTATAAAACCAATTCATAAAAAAGACAAAAGTATCTGCAGATGCAAATAATGAATGTGATAATAATAATTGATCATAATGAGGATGTATTAACCCCTGTGATCTGGATGATGTGGAAACAGTTGGCTGAGGGGCGAGGTGATGGGAAAATGCAGTCAAGAGAATTTTATTATCATTACTGCACTGAGATATGAATTACCTGCAGATATGATATAGAGTCTGTGTAAGGAAAACAGTCTATTGCCATTCGGATACAGTGTATCTGATGGCAAATATAGACATTGAAAAAGGGCAAAAAAGCTAAATATGCTTATGCAGAATGAGATAATAACATTGCAGAAGGGAGGCATGGAGTCTTGACACTGAGTGTTTGTGTGCACCCAGCCTACAAGCCACAAACCTGTCAGACTGGCCACTCAAGAAAGCTTAATGTCTGGAGTCTGAAGGTAAGGAAGCATCCAGATCCAAGAGGTTAATGGCCAAGATGATGGTAATAATGATGATGAAAATAACAACAATATCAATAATAGTTTAATAACAATGCTGAAACTAACACTACTAATAATAGCAATATCATTAATAATAACAATATTAATATCAACAACAATAACAATAACAATAACAATAACAATAATAATAATAATACAAGTCACTATTACTAGTCTAATATAAAAAAATAAAAATAACAGAGATGTACAGGAGAAAAAAGAAAGGAACAACTCAAGGAACCGAAATAACAATGATTTTCTCAGACAAACTTACTTGAGAAGACCAATTCCATGAAGGACTGAGGAGGTCTCATCAGGGTGTAGAAAAAACTCCTCTTCAAAAAGTCCCAGATTCAATTTCTTGCTGTGTATAATATCTGAAACATGAATTTGGCATTCAAAAACAAACCACGAAAATAATGGTCTGGTAACCTACATTTCACATCTACTTTCAAAGTATATAGGTATACAAGGCACAGTGTATTCTGTAATTTGACACAAAGTGCTAATAAAGGGAGGTACAGGGAATGATTAAAGGGGCTTTCCTCATCTAAGGAATAAATAGAAGGTAGGAAAGGTTTGGCTTGAAATTTTGGGTTCTCATAATAGCCTGATTTTGGGACTTCGTCTTTGGAGGGTGTGTCACTCTCGGTAACAAATACTAAAATTAAGCCTCACTCAGTGTTGTAATTAAGCCACACTAGTTTTTAACATGCCAGTACGAATACTTACTGTCTAGTCAATAAGAGGAATGTACACTAATGCCACATGCACTGTACCTGCTCTAAGATATGTGTGCTAAACTGCTGTTTCCTTGTTTGGCCATTACTGCAGGATCTACAGCCCCTCAAAAATATATTTTAGTCTCATTCACTTGAAGATTGTATATGCTACAGCGAAATTGATAGAGGGTGGGAAAATTAAATGTTTTCCATACTTTTTTCCTTAACCCATTGCCGCCGGGGATGGCATGTACGTACATGCCATACCCACTGCGAGTCGACTTGTTTGATTATTTTTACACATACATGGCTACACTTGTACTAAGTATCCAATGAGCTAATTATGAGTACTGCCTGCCTCGCCCGTTCACCCTTTTCATCGATTTACGAAAATATTTAACGCTATCCTAATTTGCTGTTAAAAATAACACCATCTATATTTATAGCACTAGTAAGAATACGTTTTTTCCCGCCAATTTAAGGAAAGGTGAAATCAGGACTAGCAGAGTCATCTATGGACAGAGATATTTCACAAAAATATAAAAAATGAGCACTGCATTTCCCCCATTTTCTGTTCATCTTCCCCGGCGGCAATGGGTTAAGTTGCTGACTGCATGCAGCCCCTGGGGCATTGTCCAATACGGTGTGTGAAGCTCCCATCAGCAATGAGAATAATAATTTAATGTTTCGCATTTGCTCCAAAATATAATGTAACGTCAGTACATCCATAGTCATAGCTGACATGATACATTCTCAATTTAGTTTGCAGGGACGGCCAAAATGACAGGTATAGCCAAAAAAGCCTGCTTTAGACAGGCAACATTCTGCATACACTGTTATTACAAATTATATTAAATTTTGTCGAAGAAATGTGAAAAACATACAAAACATTTGGAAATGCTAAATACACATACAATAAGGCAGATATAAAAGCAATATTATTTAGGAGACACTTGATTCGGTACTAATTTACTAGGGACGTAGCTCCATCTGTGACCTTCGGAAGCCCCCAGTATTGTGAATATTCAAGGTGGTTTGAAAAAACAAAATAAGTGGTGTCC